GGTTGGCATCTGTTTTCTTTCAGAACTTGAAATATATTACTCCAAGACCTCCTAACTTTGAGGGTCTGTGTTGAGAAATAAGTTGAGATCTGAATTGGTTTACCCCTATACATAATTTGATTTTTTTTTTCTCAGAGCTTTTAAAATTTTATCTTTATTCTCTGTGTCAGACATTCTCATTATAATGTGTCTTGGTGTGAGTCAGCTGTAATTTTGTACATTTGGTGTCCTGTAAACCTCTTGTATTTGATTTTCCATTCTTCTCTTTAGGTTTGGGAAATTTTCTGCTGTTATATCATTAAAAATACTGTGCATTCCTTTGGTTTGTATCTCTCCTCCTTCATCTATTCTGATAACTTTTAAATTTGGTCTTTTCATGTTATCTCATAATTCTTGGATGCTCTTTTCATGGTTTCTTACCATCTTCTCTGCATGTTCACCTCTACTTTCAAGATTATATATTTTGTGTTCATTGTCTGAGGTTCTGTCTTCCAAGTGGCCGAGTCTGTGGTTATCCTTTCTATTGAATTTATAATTTGTTTTACTGATCCTTCTCTTCAAGGATTTCTGCATGGTTATTTTTTCATGATCTCTAACTCTTTATTGAAGTGGTCTTTCACCTTCTGTATTTTTTCTTTGATTTCACTCTTTATACTATCCTTTACTCCACATATCAATTTAACTATCTACAATCTGAACTCCTTCTTGGACATTTCTTCTACTGAGTAGAAGTGGTTTCTGTTGTTTAAGCATCTTGGTTTGTTTCAGGTGTTTTATTCCCTTGTTTTTTTTACTATTGTTAGTCTGTTTTTCCATCTAAATTTATGGATCTAAGGCAGCAGAAATTCTACCCTGTAGACCTATAGCATCCCTAAAGGTCTCTAGTGCTTCACCTTTACTGTGAGACCAATATCAACAGCACCCAGTGTACACAATATATAGCCTTAAATCGAAAACCTCTCACTAAGGCATCTACTGCTTTCTCTCTTTAAACCAAAATGATGAGTTCAATAACTATCTACGGTTCAAATAGAATATTTGTTAAAATGATTTACAATTTCAAATTGTGGATGAGAGAACATAGGTAGTGTAGTACCCAATATTTATGGGAGAGAAAGAGAAAAGCTAGAAGTAAAAATTCACAGGAAGAGTGGAAGAGGAGCCAACACAGATTGGCTGTTGTTTGGAGAAAAGTTGGGAAGAAAATCCAAGAAAATAGAAAAAAGAGGAAGAATATGAACAAAGGGGAAAAGATTAAAGACATATGTATACAACAAAAACACAAAATACCATTCATATATCATTGTCCTCCACACACTGATGCATAAAAAATCCTATTCCAAATATGATAGAGCGATTAGCGAATCAAAAAATAAGATAAAATAAAATAAATCTTGCTGAAAGTCAAACTATCTCTGTCAGTGTTCAACAGATTGTCAGCCCTGTTTCTGATGTCTCTGACTATCACCAAACCTAGATTAGCCCTCACAAACCCATTCTCTATCCCACCCATCTGGGCTTCAGATACCTCAATATTGGCCACACTGTATTCCAAGACCTCAATGATGCTTCTACTTGCAGAAAGACCTCTAGGGATACAAAGGAGCAGTCCCAAGATACAGCAGCAAGACAAGGGTCACCAGCACTCTCAGCAGGAAGACCTCAGGCTTCTCCAAACCCACAGACTTTCCTACAATGGACCTGTGGGTCCCAGCTACAGTCCCCAGATAGAAGCTCTTGTGGTGATAAACCTGCCAGCACGTGGGCCCCAAGCCCTGACTGGTGTCCCCAAATGGGAGCAGCCACTTGCAACCAAATCTGAAGTCTCCCTGAAACAGTCCTCTAGGCTGTGGTAGCAGCAGTAGTGGTGGTGGTTTTTGGTAGTAGGCAGTGGGTCAGCAGCAGCTGCAGTGGCAGCTACAACTGCAGCTGTGGGGGCAGCATCACCAGGTGATCTCTGGGGGGCAGCAGTAGTGTCAGCTTCAGTTGCTTCCAGGGCAGTGGTTTCTTCTGTGGCAGCAGCACCTAGAAAGAAGACTTCCAGGTGATCTCAGGCTGGCAGCAGCAGAATCAGAGGCAGCAGCAATGGTGGTAGCAGTGCAGGCAGCAGTTGATTAAGAGGAGACTTCTGGTTCAGTGGCAGCAACCAATGTGGTAGTGGCATAATTCGCCTTGGAGGTAACTGAGGCTGTGCCCAGAGAAGAGACCTCTGGACTCTGCAGTGACATCTGCTGCAGGCAGCATCTGGGGTGACTGCCTCTTCTTTCCACTTTTGAATGAATCTATTACTCATGTTTTTGTGACATCATTTAGGGTTGGGAACGGGAGAAGAAATCTTCCAGCACTACCCCCAAAGCAACTTTTATCTGCTGTAGTCACATGACAAGACTTGTCACAACCAATCCCAAAGTTTAAACAGGTATGTGGATCAATTACAATGTGAATCTAATTTCCACCTCTCTGTCTTTTATGTTAATGGAAGGGATCAACTAGGAAACATTGGGACCCTGAGATTCAGACAAAGACATATGGGCAATTCTGGTGATGCTGGAAGCAGAACCAGCTTTCTGGGCATGTTACCTGTAAAGTTTCACAGGGCCTCCTACTCAGAAAGGGGCTGACGCTTAATTTAATGTTCTGTTATTGCTGTCCTGCAATTTTTAATCATTTTGTCCTTGAAACTATGTTTTGTAAATAAAGTCTATTAAGAGGATGGAGAATGTGCATGGGCAGAGGAGATAAATGAGGCTTTAGAACAGGAACACATGGAAGTTCATGTTCAAGGGTAGAGTTGTTCCACCCATTCCAAGGGAAGGTGACTGCCAGAGGCTTTCTGGTGCTTTGGGGTCCCCAGAGTGTATTTCAATAAGCATTCTTAGTAAATTTGTACAAAATGAAAGCATGAAAATGAACATTGCAATTAATAATTTAGGAGAGTTCTTAGAATACTTGGAAAAGTTTAGAAACTCTAATTTTGAAAATTGAGGCTGCATTTTATATTGAATATCCACAGGCTTAGAAACAGAAATTAAATGTAATGATAGCTACCTGATAAAGAATAATGTTTTCATGTGAAAGTTTGAATGAACCAATTGTTAATACAGATGTGAACTTTAATATTAATTTCACTGGACTTGAGGGAACAGTAATAGGATGCATAGTCAAGCATTATTTATTATAGAAAGATTATCAAGTTACTTTCAGTTTATGAGACCTCTAAAAATTACAGAAAATACAAAAGGAAAAACTAAAATGCTGCTGTACAAATCAAACTGCAGAAAAATCCAGAAATATCTTTTGATCAAGATATAATATTTATTGTTGTTTGTATTAATAGCTGCCATTCTGACTGGAGTGAGATGCAATCCTTCAGTAGTTTTGATTTGCTAGAGATGTTAAACATTTTTTCATATGTTTGTTGATTGATTGTAAATCACCTTCTGAGAAGTGTCTGTTCAGTTCCTTGGCCCATTTATTGATTAATTATTTGTTTTTTTGGTGTTAAGATTTTTGAGTTCTTTATATACCTAGAGACTAGTGCTCTATTTGATGTGCAAGTGGTAAAAATTTTCTCCCAACCTGTAGGGTCTTTATTCACCTCACTGATTGTTTCTTTTGCTGACAAGAAGCTTTTTTAGTTTGAATCCATCTCATTTATTAATTCTTGATTTTAATTCTTGTGCTATAGGAGTCTTATTAAGGAAGTATGGGCCTAATTCAATACAATGGAGATTTGGGCCTTCTTTTTCTTCTATTAGGTGCAGGATCTCTGGTTTAATTCCTATGTCCTGGATCCACTTTGAGTTTTGTACATGGTGAGAAATAGACGTTTAATTTCATTTTGTTGCATATGATTTCCAGCACCATTTGTTGAAGAGGCTATCTTTTCTCCAATGTATGTTTTTGGCATCTTTGTCTAAAATAAGATAACTGTAATTATGTGGGTTAGTCCATACTAACCTGTACCATTGGTCTACTGATATGTTTTGGTGCTAAATACCATATTGTTTTTATTACTATTGCTCTGTAGTATAGTTTAAGGTCTGGTGTAGTGATGCCAGCTACTTCACTCTTCTTGCTAAGGATTGCTTTAGGTATTCTGGGTGTCTTATTTTTCCAGATGAACTATATGACTGGTTTTTTTTTTCTATGAAGAAAGTCATAGGAATTTTGATTGGAATTGCATTAAATCTGTATAATGCTTTTGGTAGTATGGTCATTTTGACAATATTAATTCTGCCTATCCAAGAACAAGGGCAATCTTTCCATCTTCCAAGGTCTTCTTTAATTTCTTTCTTTAGCATTCTGTAGATTTTGTTGTAGAGGTCTTTCACTTTTTGGTTAAGTTGATTACCAAGTATTTTATTTTATTTTTTGAGGCTATTTTAAATGGGGTAGTTTTCCTCATTTACATTTCAGAGGATTTGTCACTGATATACAGAAATGGTTTTGATTTAAAAGTGTTGGCAGGGAAAAAGGCACACTCCTACATTGCTGGTCAGACTGCAAAATGGTGCAGCCAAAATGGGAAGCTGTATGGAGATTCCTTGGAAAACTTGCATTGGAACCACCATTTGACCCACTTATCCCACTCCTTGGTCTATACCCAAAGGATTTAAAAACAGCATACTACAAGTACACAGCCACATCAATGTTTATTGCAGCACAATTCACAATAGCTAAACTGTGGAACCAACCTAGATGCCCTTCAGTAGTTGAATGGATAAAGAAAATGTGGTATATATACACAATTAAATATTACTCAGCAATAAAAGAGAATAAAACTATGGCTGCTTTTATGTGTCTGAATCACCCAGAGGGGGAAGAGAACACCATCTAACCTGAGGGTTTAGTAGTTAAGGATGTGACCACAAGGTGGCAGTCTACCCCAGCTGGTGCAGAATAAGTGGAGGGTTAATTGTAGTGGATTCTGAATAAAGAGGTTTATAGTAGAAGCAGAGCCTTGTCCTTATTGGTTGGGTAGACAATATGAGAAGCTGCTATAATTGTTAGAGAAAGAAAGTGACAACCAGACAAGAAATAGCTCTTCTGGCTAGAGGTATCAAGTCTATTGTCCAAAGGTAGAAACAATGGAGACATTGATTTATGCTTTATTCGTATTCTTGTGGCTGCATCTGACCTGTGAGTTGAGAACTGGGGTATGATAGAGATACTACTGGGTGTTATTTTGATGTCTAGGGAGAAGACTGGCTTTATTCAGAGCTCCTTCCTATCCTGTAGTAAAAGAAAATTCTAGAGAGCAATGACCTGACAACTCTCTCCTTTCTCTTTGTCTTTTTCAGGTGTCAGCCAAGGAGAGAAGGTGGAGCAGCACCCTTCTACCCTGAGTGTCCAGGAGGGAGACAGTGCTGTTATCAACTGTACTTATTCAGAGAGTGGTTCATCTTACTTCCCTTGGTATAAGCAAGAAGATGGAAAAGGTCCCCAGATGATTATAGACATTCTTTCAAATAAGGAGATAAATCAAATCCAAAGATTCATTGTTGTGTTGGATAAGAGAGCCAAACCCTTCTCCCTAAACATCAGAGCCACCCAACCTGGAGACTCAGCTGTCTAATTCTGTGCAGTTGATGCACAATGCTTCCCAAACACCTCCAGCCTGTACTCAAACCTACCACTGGGCTGAGCCCTACCTGCTTCCTTTTTTTGCAAAGACCTTCCAGTATTGCATTTTCTATATTGTTATTTTGCAAGTGGAAACTAGCATATAGGCATTCAAAGTATATAATACATACAGTGGGTTCAAGATGACCCAGAGAGGGTCAGAACATTTTGTTAGCTGATAGTTCTTAACAGATTATTTTTTTCTATTTTTATTTTACGTATTTAAAGTACATAACATGATGGTTTGATATACAAAAAACATAGTGAAAATGAACAGCTAGATGAAGTGATGTGAGATAAAGAGGGCAAGGTGTGGCACAGAACTTCATGCCCACTCTGGGCTCCTCACACCCAGGCGCCCTCACAACTTCAGCAATCCTAAACCTGCACATAATGGATTCTTCCAGGGAACAAATGATGTTTTGTTTTGCAATCTAGTTTTTAAAGATAACATTTGCTATTTTGACTTCTCTCCTATAAATATCACTTACTAACCAGTATCACAATCCTTGTCAGATATGGGCTACTGGTGCTTTAGAAAATTATACTTGTTATTTTTCTTATTATAAAAAATTACATGTTAAACATAGAAAATATGTAAAATATAATATATGAAATTGCTTTTTCTGTACCATGATAAGTGTTGCTAATATTTAGTCAAAGCTTCCAATGCAGTAGAAAGGTAAAATCATCAAGTTTGGAGATGTAAAATCTAAGACAATAGATAATAAAATTGTTGAATAGATTTTTTAGCTACTGTCAAATGTACAAAAAGTTATATAAAATGATAGATATGTCAATTTGCTTCAATATATAACCACTTTACCACCTATATGTATCCTATAATATCCTGTTGTAAATCTTGAATACACTGTAAGGATTCTGGCTGTGGAAATGTACAAGGCAGCATTCATCTGGTGAGGAAACTCCTGGGGGGAAACAGGTGCCCCGTTTTCCACACTTGGAATATTCTGCAGTTTTTCCTAGGAACTACTAAGATAACTAATACATGTGCAATGCCTAGCTGCTATGATAATGCCCTGCATGAGGAGGATCTGTGCTAGAGCCTTATTAGCTTTGACCTTGATCTCAGGTGCTCAGCTTGTGGGAATAAAGGAATTCTGTTGTTGGACAACCACAATGTCACACCAAGCTCTGCTGAGCCTGAACCTTTCCACATAACAGAAACTTTAAACAACGGGCTTTCTTGAGAGCTACACAAAGCTCCTAACATTTCACATTACAACTGCAGTATGTAACTGAGAGAGAAGCAGCATAATGTTGCTAACTCTGTAACCTGCCTAATGCCACAATGAACAATAATGTGCTACTGATGCCAGTGACCTAATGTAACCTATTGATATAAATAAAGCTGGCAGCTCAGGCGAGCAGCTTTTGCTTTGCCTCTGCACCTTGCCTCTGTCTCCTTTTGCTTTCCTTACAACATACACAGCAAAATTAACTAAAAGAAACATGTTATTTCTTTCTACTTATTTGTGTCTTTCTTTCTTGATGAAGTTCTATTGTTTTGAGATGATTAAATTTATTCCTATGCATTTAGCTTTTATTGCTATCTTATAATTCTTTCTGGTATATGTGAGAAAATTTTTATATCTACATTTTAACTACCATATTGAAAACTTACTACTATATTACAATAATTTGGATTAATGGTCTATTTACTTATAGCTTGCTACAGAGATTTCTGTTTGAAAGTCTTCCATGTGCTGTCTGTGTTGTGCCAGAGCATGTGTGTTTCAAGAATCCTGGGTCAGTGCTCATCTTCTGTGAACTGTTTATGGAGACCCTCTGAAGAAGCTTAGTTGAAATCTTTTTTATCTTTCTTTCTTTGTTTCTTATTTTTTTTTTTTTTTTTGGTAATGGTGATTGAGCTCAGGGGCACTCAACTACCGAGCCACATCCCCAGCCCTATTTCACTTTTTATTTAGAGACAGGGTCTTACTGAGTTGCTTAGTGCCTTGCTTTTGCTGAAGCTGGCTTTGAATTTGTGTTCCTCCTGCCTCAGCCTCCTGAGCCACTGGGATTATAGGTACATGCCACTAAGCCTAGCTAGTTGAAATAATTTACCTGGCATGATCCCTGTTCAAAATTTGGCATGAGAGTGTCAAAATATTGATTGTGGAAATGGATACTTCTTGACTGACAGAAGTACAGTTGTGACCCTCCATTGAGTGAGAAGTGTAATGAAGCTGAATACTATAAGGAGAAATTAATTATACCTTATAGTTGATGGACCACCTGGTAGAAAAATATTGGTGTTTGAGAGCAGAACAGTTGTACTGTATGTGGTATCAGATTTAAGGGAGATTCCAGTACAAATCTGAGAATACTTCAACCAATCTAGACAAGAGTAACATTATTTTGAGAAGAGGATAAGCTTTGGCTACTGTATCACCAAGTAGGGATGACAGGCATTGGTTTATTGTTGGCATTTTGTTGAGTAGTATCTTTAGGAAATGGCCTTGTCCTTTTTAGTAGTTCACCTGTTTATTTATTTATTATATCTTTTCATGTTTTTTATTGGTGCATTATAGTTGTACATGATGATGAGATTTGTTGTTACATATTTGTACATGTGCATAATATAACATTATAATTTGACCAATGTAATTCCCTAGCCCTTCCATCATCCCTCTCCTCATTACCACCCCTGGTCCTTTTCCTTGAATTGATCTCCCTTTGATTTGCACAAGATCCCCACCCTTTACCTGTGTCTCCATTTTTCCTTTCCAGCTTCCACATATGAAGGAAAACAAGTAACACTTGACTTTGAGTCTGGCTTATTTCACTTACTATAATGCTCTCAAGTTCCATCTATTTTCCTGCAAAAGACATAATTTCATTTTCCTTATGTATTAATAAAACTCCATTGTGTGTATGTATATATACCACGTTTTCTTTACCCATTTATTTATTGATGGACACCTAGGCTGCAGGTTCAATAGTTGTTAAATTAAGAAGGGAGTCTGGGTTGGTGAGATTGCCAGTCACACACACAGCAGTTAGACATGACTTCCTTTCCTGTTCTGGGGCAGCAGCAGCTTGGAGCTCAGTAGTACCTCCCTCACCCTGTCAGCCTGCCCACCCAGTACAGAGCCCTGAAGTCAAAGAAGAATTTCTTCTGAAGGAATAAGGCAAACATGGTGCTGCCCAGACTGCTGAAACTGGTCATGGTGTCCATGTGGCTGGGTAGGAATGGTTCCTGTGGAAGGGGCCTTTTTTGTGACCTAGAGATTGGGGGTCAGGATAGCCTTAAAGGGACTTTGGGAGGGATGGTTAGCAGTGTGTAAAAGTGCACCTTTATTTGTCCCAAGAGCTTGTCCCTCAACTTTCTGATTCTTTCCTTTTTCCTTCAGGATCCAGTTTTGCCCAGAAGGTGACTCAAGCCCAGCCAGCCATGTGGGTGCAGGAGAAGGAAGCTGTGAGCCTGCTCTGCTCCTATGACACCAGTGCTGGAAGTTATGATCTCCTCTGGTACAAGCAGCCCAGCAGTGGGGAGATGGTCTTCCTCATCCTTCAGAACTCTTACAGCCAGCAAAATGCCACAAAAGGTCGCTACTCAGTGAATTTGCAGAAGGCAAGCAAATCCATCCAGCTTGTCATCTCAGCCTCACAGCTGGGGGACTCAGCGGTGTATTTCTGTGCACTGAGAGATAGATAGCACAGTGAGAGGACTGTTGGAGGCAGTTGTACAAAAACCCAGGGTCTGCCTGAGACAGCCACCTGCTGTAGGGACCAAGGCAGGTAATGCCACTTCAGACAGGAAGTGGCCAGGGTTGTGGTGGCTCCTGTCTGGGGTTGGAGGGAAAATACTTATTCTGAGGAAATTCTGCTCTCTTTGTTTCATTCAATAATACTCTCAGCAAATAGTTTATAGTAAATTTTATTGCCTTTTACAGCAAATCACTCTTTAGCAGTACACTTTGAAGAAATTCTTACACATTTATTTTTCAATATAAATATTGTTTTATTTCATTTTCTTTGTGTTCAATAACTCTCCATTAAAACAAGTGAAAAAGCAAATAAAACAAAAAACTTGTTGAAAGCAAAATGAGGAATTGCTTTAACGAATACATTAACATATGAAGTATCAACTTATTAGTTATTTTTTAATTCAGAAAAAGGCTAATTTCTCAATTCATAAAGGACTTTTATGTTCCTCAAATATTTTGAAGTCTCTTATCTGTATCTTCAATTGAATTTATCTAAATTTATTCCTACATATTCAGTTTCAACTGAATTTTTTATATATTATTTTTTGCTGATATCCCAAGTACAAACAATGCTTATTTTAAAAAATCACATTGGTTTTATAGCTAAGTGTTTCTAAATTTTAAAGTTGCCATGTAAACTTACTACCTAAATTATTATATTTTATTTTATGAGGCTATATTTACCATATTCTGACACATAAAGTGATAGAATAACCAAATAATAACTCTTGAATTAAGCTCAAGATGCTCTTGATACTTGGTGAGTAACATATTTTTTTAAAATTTGGACTCTTTCTTCTATGATGTCAGAAAAGCTTTTAATCATGAACTTATCTAAGAGCTGTATCTCATGGTGAACACAGGTCTCTTTCTTCCCCCCAGATTGGATCCATGGAGACTCAGTGACCTTTTTAGAAGGGGGTTTTCTGAATATAAACTGCACTTACTCAGCCTCAAATTACCCTACTCTTTTCTGGTATATCCAATACCCTGGAAAAGGTCCACAGCCCCTACTGAAAGCTGCGAAGGCCAATGATAAGGGAATTGAGAAAGGTTTTGAAGCCACATACAAGAGAGAAACTACCTCCTTCCATTTGGAGAAAACTTATGTCCAAGAATCAGACTTGGCTATGTACTACTGTGCTCTAGGTGACACAGTGTCAGAAACTGAGGTGGAGCTGAGTGCAAACTCTGGCAAACTCAGGGGCCTGGGTGCTAAGCATCTGCCTCTGATATCTCTTTGGTTTAAGGACCAGAAACTGGTCTACTATTGTAGCCACCCATGAAGCACTGCTATAAAAGTCTTCCAAACCAACCCTAAGAACACAGTAGGAGAATATGAAGCAAATTTACTTCACATAAGATTCTTCAAAGGTTAGAGTGGAAACTGTCACCATACTTCTTCAACTACTCCTGAAACTTGTGATTTTAAAAGCATAAAACCTCAAGGTGAGTGAAATAATCTATATGTCCATCTTTGCATATAATTTTATCCCCTGACCTTGTCTCAGATCCTGCAAGAAAATATTGTTTAGAAAAATATTTGTGGTTTCTGAGAGTGTGAATGCTTAATGTGTCCATGAGAAGCTCATGATTTCTGAAGAAAGTTTTAGCCTAAGAAATAGTAAAAATTTAAAGAAAGAAAAGAATGTAAAGAGTGAAGGGGGACTGGGAGTCCCACATTTGAAAAGATAAGATGAACATTTTTTAATTCCTTTGGGGAATGTATATGCATACATGCATGGGGAGTTCTCCAAAAAGATTACCATTGACCAAAAACTGTAGAGATATCTCTTTCCATAATTTCTCAGCAATCTTCCTTTCTATCATTAAGATAGTACCTGAGATAGATTGGAAGTGTCCAGGATCCGGAGTATAAAAATTCTACTGGGATAAAATTCTTTCACTGTAGTTTGGTGGGGATCCCAACTTCCCCTGTATCTTTGCACCATTTCTCCCACAGAAGGGGAGGAGTAACTAAATGGAGTGGGAGATGGTGGCCAGGGCTATAAGAAAGGAAGGATGGCAAAAAAGAAGAATCTTTGGATTTAATTGCAGAAGACCTGGTATCTTTGTAAATATTGGAGATTTCCTTTTGGGTTGCTATTGTAGGTAGTTAATATATATCAGTTTATTGACCCATTATGTGTGCATTTTGCTTGTGGGAATTGTTCTTGAGCACAATAAATGAGAGTGAGGGGATGCTGTCCATTATTTTCTGTCTCAGAGTCTGCAGAAGAATGCCACTTGGCAGATACTAACATTGGTTTCTTTAAAACTGGTGACAATAACATTGTCATTGTTGTGAGGAAGGTCACTCAGAAAAATACACCAAGTCCCAGTTTTATCCAAATTGAAGAGCCAACTGGTGACTGCTCCCTGCAGGACCATAAGTGTCTCTGCAAGGAACAGGCCCACACCTGAGCATTTTAGGATATTTAAAGGCAAAACCCACATCTGGGTTGACATAGCTGTCAGCAAGCAACTATGTCAATAAACTGATGTACAGAAGCTGGATTGGGCAGGTAATGAGACAATGCGATGGGTACATTGGTATTTCCCACAGGACTTTCCAGGTTGGCATAGCAGCGAGCAAGCAAGCAGAAGGGATGTGGGTCAAAATGACTCTAATTGAGTACAAGTTAGAGAATGGTTACTAATGTCTAGACAGGCAATCTCTGACAAGGGACATTGTCCAAGAAAAATGAAAAACAAAAAGAACAATTTTACATTGTATAAGAATTGCTATTTTGTGTTCCCAAGTATGTTATGTTCGGCAACTATTAATTAATGAGTACAGTGGTGGGGCTTCCCCACAGGAGAATATCATTTATTAATGATATGGAGTCTCAGGGTAAAATGGAGTCTGTTTGGTCATTGCCCATATAGTCTGGCCCATAACATCATTGTCATTAAAGTAACATTGTCTATAAATCTTTCATTTTTCATTATTATCCATTTTAGGCTTCCCTTTTATCTTTTTACACCCCTCCCCAGAGGCCCATCTTTAGATCTTATTAGATAGTTGATCAATAACTACTCATACAACATAAATAATTTATGTTCATAGGATAAAACAACTTTAAATAGGTCAAATAATATACAGAAAAACTAATTTATTTTGTGAAGTATGGTAGATTGCACATGTGTCCACTTCTGTCTCTCTGAAACTCCAACAAGAGGGTATTTCAAGAGGCAAAATTCCATGATCATGAAGACAATGGAAAAAAAGAACATTTGCAGATGAAATTCCAGAAATATCTGAAAAGTTGAAGCAAAATGTAAATCTAACAGACTTCAAAGAGCTGAGAAATGTGAAACCAAATCTTGCAGAAGAGGAATCTAGGAAGAAGACTTCCAGGCCCACAGTTTTGCTTGGCCCAGGAACTGGAGACAACAGTGACTCTCCTTTTGAATACTGGAAGATGAGGATGCTTGGAGAGGTGTCTGGCTTTAAAATAGGAGAACTGGTTAAAGGAATTTGTAAGTAGCACTTCAACCACCATACCCTTCATTACTTTCTACAACAATGACTTACAATCATCAACTATTACAAAAGACCATATATTTACTCACTGGAAATAGCCTCTGATTTTTGAGACAACAGATAAATCTGTTTGGTGTAACACCAAATAAATCTAGGGTGGGGTGAATTGGCAAGTTGAAAATAGGTGAATTTCATAAATTTCTGTATACTGAGTGTGAGACCTTTGGCTTCTGTTACATTCAGCTTTTATTTGGCTTCCACTAAATGAATGTGTGGCAAGAGAGTAATTATTAGAGTATTCACTTCTTTAAAACTGGTGACAGTCACAGCTACTTGGGAGACTGAGGCAAGAGGACTGTGAGTTTGAGGCCAGCTTGCAAAACTTATGAGACCATTTTTCAAGATAAAAATAAAAAGGACTCAGTGCTAGAGTTTGAACCATGGCCTGCCTGGGGAGGGAATTATTAACCCTAGAGTTGTGGGCCTGTTGGAAGTAGAAGCCTGAAAAAGTAGTTTTAAGGGATAAAAACAAAGGACAAGAAATTCATTGAAAGTGTGGGCTTTATGGGTGGAAGAGACCTGATGGGTCTGATCTTAACAAAGGGAAAAAAGCCTTCAAATGCTTTATTTATAGTGAAAGACACCAAAGGAATTTATTGTGAGGAGTGGTTCTTCAAGGTAAATAAGAGGTGGGAGGATGTGTGGAAGTTGCCCTGATCAGGGACTTATCACTTGTGCAGTAATTCTTCATCCTCCAGGCAGCTGGTGCCACAGGCTGGTTAGGGCACTGGTAACTCTCTCTACCTCTGGGGGGTTGCCTTTGAAACTAGGGCTGTCTGAGCCAATAAATTCTGCAGTATCACAGAATTCTCTTTGAGCAGGACATTTGAGAAGTCAACGAAGTTGTCTCAAATCAATAAGATAATCCTGAGTGTTCTCTGAGGCGCTCACCTCTGCTTAGAGATGGCTCAGACACGCTCACAGTTTATCCATGGTTTCCAATACTAGGGTGCTTGATGAGCATGTGCAAGGCCCTGGGTTCAATCTTCAATAATAAACACACAAACAAACAAACAAACAAACAGGTGGCAAAATAGCTTTTTGTTAGTCTAGCAAACTCATAAACTTTAATTGGCTTTCTAGTCCCAATGTAAAAACAGGCCATCAGGGATAATAACTAGTGTGTTCATGATCCTGTATCTAGAAGACCACAAAAACTCCACCAGAAGACTTCTAGAGCTGAAAAATAAATTCAGCAAAATAACAGAAAACAAGGTCAATTAAAAAAAAAACAGTAACTTTGCTAGCTCCAATAATAAATCTATTGAGAAAGAAATCAGGAAAACTCTCCCATTTTCAATAACTTCACACCCAGAAATACTTAGGAATAAATCTAACCAAGGAGTGAAAAATCTCTACAATGAAAAATATAGAATGCTGAAGAAAGAAATTGAAGGAGAT